GCCCGGATACAATTACCAGTGGAGACTTGAGGTATAATTGCACATTGTTCACAGTTCTGAAGTCCTCTTCTATCTTATCTCAGCTATGTATTATATTTCAAACAACTTGAATTTTATTCAGACCTTTATTTGTATTATTGTAGAAGCTCGTGCACTTGTGACTCCAGTTCTGGGATGGTATTTAGATTTCGCAATTATTATGGTTTACTCACTTTATTTCAGACTTTATTTCCGCATTTGTTTCCTTGTTATTAATAAATTTAAAATTTAATTAAAATGGATAATTATATTCTAACGTTGGCTTGCCTAGCAAGTGAAATATTATGTGCCATCACGGTCCCAAAGGTGGGAATTTCAGGTCGTGACAGTAGTACCTTCTCCCTAACCATGTAAGCAACATCACGAACCTTCCGATCAGCGTATCTCTTCTTCATCCTCCTCCACCAATAGTGTTGCCTCAAGTCCCGGTACATCTTTGCGGACCCCGATTAAATGGAATACCACTAAATATGGGCCTCCTCAAGGATCAACTCACATAGCCCATCTACATTAGGCACACAAATCCGAATTTGCATCCTCAACACCCCATCATCCCCAATAGTAACATTCTTCGCATCACCATGCTAAACTGTGTCCTTAAGGACAAGCAAATGGGGATAATCATATTGGAGCTCTCTGATGCGATCATATAAGGAAGACCGAGAAACCACACAAGCTAGAACCCGATTGGGCTCCGAAACATCTAATCTCACAATCTGGTTGGCCAAGGCCTGAACATTAACTGCAAGCGGTCTCTTACCAATAGGAATAAATGTAAGGCTATCCATACACACCGCATTTCTACTCAGGGCATCGACCACCATATTGGCCTTCCCAGGATGATACAGAAAGTTAATATCATAGTCCTTTAGCAGCTCCAACCATCTCTACTGCCTCAAGTTTAGATCCTTTTGTTTGAACGAGTGCTGGAAACTCTGATGATCCGTAAATACCTCACAAGACACACCGTAGATATAATGCCTCCAAATCTTCAATTCATGAATGATGGCTACCAACTCCAAATCACGAATAGGGTAGTTCTTCCCATGGGGCTTCAACTAGCGCAAAGCATAAGCAATCACTCTACCATCCTGCATCAAGACACACCCGATACCGATCCGAGATGCATCACAATACACTGTATAAGATCTTGACGCTGAAGGCAAAATTAGAACTGGAGTTGTGGTTAAGGCAGTCTTGAGCTTTTGAAAGATCTCTTCACACTCATCCGATCACCTAAATAGAGTACCCTTCTGGGTCAATTTGGTCAAAGGCACTGCAATAGACGAAAAGCCCTCCACAAAGAGACGATAATAACTGGCCAACCCGAAAAAGCTCTGAATCTCAGTAGATGAGGACAGTCTTGGCCAACTATGAACCGCCTATATCTTCTTTGGATCCACCTTAATCCCCTCACTGGACACCACGTGCCCCAAGAACGCCACCGAACTAAGCCAAAACTCACACTTGGAGAACTTGGCATAAAGTTTCTCCTCCTCTAGCCTCTGTAGTACAATCCTCAAATGTTGTGCATAGGGGTGGGCATAAAATTTGAAAAACCAAATTCCGAATTGAACCGAATTAATTTTGTATCTTGGTATCCGATTTTTCAGTTCTTAGGTATTATTCGATATAGATTTTTGATATTTTGGTTCAGTACTCGGTATTGAATTTTTGATATTTCGGTATACCAAAATACCAAAATATATTAAGTCCAAGCCCATATCTATTTCTATTTTCCAGCCCAATAAAGAATAAACCTAAGCCCAACACCCCTAATCGCTTTGGCCTTAGTTAGTCCCTTAGGGCTTAGAGACTTAGAGAGCATAGGGTAAAACATTGCTTGACTGCTGTTGTAATTCACGACTACAATAGCAGAGACGGAGACGGAGACTTCCCGACCTCGGCGGTGGCGACTCCTCTCCTCGGCGACTGCTTGTTTGCTCATTGTTGACCTTTATTCTTTAATCTTCAAGTCTTCAATAGGTTCACAACTTCTTCATTCTTCATTCTTCAGGTTTTATGTTAGTTTCAACTTGTTATATTTCATTAAGTTTCTTATGTTGAATAATCAGTTTTTGAGCATTTAAAGAATAATTGTTTTGGGGGTTTTAGCTACTGAAAAGACCAGAGTTATGTACTTGAACTTGTATGGAGTTAAGAATTTAAGAATCATTGTTTTTTCCAAACTCAGTCTTAAAATTTTCTTTTCTAGAAAATTGTCGTCAAAGAGCACTGAGGTTGCCAGCTGAGAAGGACTACATTAAAATCAAATCAAGAAGCTCGAGTCGCTAAATTTTTCAAACATTACATTCCTTTGAAAAGCTTTGCCAGATTCCCTTAGGCCACTGGCAAAAGAACAATATCATCTTAGAGTAGAAGAGTAAGTAAGAAAGAACAATATCATCTTAGAGCATAAATCTCTTCCTGTCTATTTGCAATGTTCACATTTTCTTTTCATGATCCAATGTTGCAATTGTTAAATCTAGGTCACTGCACTCTATGAATTGTTTTTTACTCTATGTAATTATCAAGATTATATTTTCTATGTTTGCCTTTGAGTGGTTGAATTCTCAACAGAAGTTAGAAGAGACGTTACGTAATAGGCATAACATAATCTTGGACAATTTGGACAACTTTGGTATGATACCGAAACCGTACCGAACCAAATAAGAAAATATTAAACTGTATCGAACTACTTTAGTACGGTATTTGGTATGCACATTTGATATGCTGAATATCAAAGTACCGAACCGTAGTTATTAAATACTATATCAAAGTAACGAACGCTCTCCCCTAGTTGTGCATGCCCATCCTTGCTATATGAGTAAACAGAACACTATGACAAATGAGTCAAGATATGGCTGAAATACATTGTTCATCAGATGTATGATTGTTGCTGGGGCATTGGTCAGCCCAAAAGACATCACAAGGAACTCATAGTAACTGTAGAGGATCCTGAATGCCGTCTTCAAAATATTCGAGTCCCGAATCTTCAACTGGTGATACCCAGACCTCAAGTCAATCTTAGAGAACACCCTCGTTCTTTCAATTCCTTCAACTCAGTTGGTTTCATACGATACGGAGGAATAGAAATGGGTTGAGTACCCGGCACCAAGTCAATACCAAAATCAATATCCCTATTGGGTGGCATACCCGTCAGGTCTGCAAGAAATACATCCGAAAAATATCGTACTACCGATACAGAATCAATAGTAGGAGTATCAGCATTAATATCCCTCACATAGGCCAAATATTCCAGACACCCCTTCTCAACCATCCGTTGGACCTTCAAATATGAAAGAGAGAGCCTATATATATTAATAGGTAAACTTGTTCCCGAATAATAGAAATCTCTTAGTATAAACTTGTTCACTCTTTAGGCAAAGAAAAGGGATAACCTTTTAATACTTCTTACAAGGGGTGTACATGGAACGGGTTGGTTCGGTTTTTATCAAAACCAAACTAAACCAACTATATCAGTTTGGATTGGTTCGGTTTCGTCGGGTTTTTCGAATTTTTGGGTTTTTTGTTACTTAAATATTATTTCAATATTACTTTGTTAAATATTTGATAAGTAAATATATATTTAGTAAAAATATAAAAAATTAACAAACATATTATCGATTAAAATATTCTTATGGGAGAATTCTATTAGTAACACATAATAGTTATTTTTTTTTATCGTCTGACAATAATTTTTCGTTGATGTACACTTTCAGGTTAAATCGAATTTAGTAATTAAACATAAAAATCAATATGATACATAAATATTAATAATCACTTTACATTTGAAAAAGATATAAGAATTTAATAAATCTTAACATATGATATGAATATGGAAGAACAAAGAGATAGACGCATTCCAGTAACACTTGATAAGAAAGTGATCATACAACTCATTATTTAAGGTCAATAAATATGGAGTACTTCATATTCTATTAAAATTTATATCTCGCAAGAGAATCCCAAATATTTCTAGACATTTTTTAAAAATAATTCTATATAAAATCTTAAAAGTATATATAAAAATTATATATTTATATGTCAGATTGGTTTAGATTTTTTTACTCAATACCAAACCAAGTCGGGTGTTTTAATCGGTTTGGTTTGACTTTTCGGTTTGGTACGGTTTTTCGGTTCTGTTTGTACACACATGCTCCTTACGTGTTAATTTATGTGGATCTATAACTATTTTATGAGTCAATATTTGGTTATCAATATTATAGTTTTAAGAAAATACCATTAATTTCATATCTATTTTTCTTTTAAAATGCAAAACTAACAAACAAATATTATCGTTTGATATGTATAAAGTCATTCTTTTATAGTATCAGATTACGTTGATTATCAAACAAAGATTGTTATAACTAATAAAGATGCACATTTCATGCACTCATAAATATGATATTGTTTTATGCATTTTCAATTTAGCAGATGCTAATGAAATAAAGGTGATTTGGATGTGAAGTAGTGGATTAAATTTGTGTTGAAGCCATAAAGTATTGATATTGCTAATAAAACTTTTTAGGACACGGTAGAGCAAGATAAATTTTTATGGCTAGAAAAGATGCACAGTTCATGCACGCATTCTATATGTTCATAGCACGTGCATCTTTTATGTTTCGTTACTTAAACTTAACTCACTTTGGATAACTAACTATGCCCGAAGTGATATTTTGGAGTAATTATCAATCCTTGAGAATTTCTTTAACACAATGTTGAAAATTTTATTCGTAAATATATTTTTTTTCGTGCGTACATTATAATAATCTTATTTTATTAATTGATACTGTTTATTATAAAATGATGATCATGAACCCTAACGAATAAGTACAATTAAAGAGATATAAACAAGTGTTAATAGATATTTTCTTTGTTAATAGGTAGATATGGACGGAACTTCACAAATAACAAAGTAGATTATAATTTCATTATACGGACTGAAACCTATTTTGGAACTAAATCTGGTCAACTTGTTGCAATCGATGGCCTTGAAAGATACTATCATTTTTATCGAAATTGTATCCGACGAGAAAGTTTGATTGGGCCATATTCCCAAAGAAAGACTGATCTACCATTCGTTTAAAGGCTAGGCACTGAAGTTTGCTACTATTTAGAATTGGAGGCATTATATTCTCCCCGGACAATAGGACATCAGCTCCAATAAAATGAAGCGTCATTGGAGGAATATCAGTGCCTTTCAGATCTTTGTAGCAGAGACTTAGCCTAGATGAAGAGTTGTCAACCCACGGTTCTACTTTAATGGCTTCTCTCACCAATGTATTGAATTGATTGTAAAACAGTGTAGGAAAGAAAGTATAAGTAGTTCCTGAGTCAATCACAATATTTTCCTCTTGAAAAACTCTAGAAGAATTAACAACAAGGTCAAGTTTTTGTTCACTAACTGGTATGCCTAAGAGGGTCAAGAAATAGTACACAAAGGTTGGTTTAACAATAACTGGATTGTCACCAAAGGTAAGTTTGCTAGGGATATCTAGTTGTTCCCTTGGCATAAAATAGTAGGATATTTTTTGTCCAAATGTTGGACTAAGTTGTGACACTAAAGACGCATAAGATGCGCCAATCTCTATTACGCCAGACATCATAGGGTTCACTGGTATAGATTTGGATATGTGACCACATCCATAAACAATACTTGGGAAAGAAGTTTCTTCTCCATTTTCATTTTCATAATAGAAAGTAAAAGTTTATGTGGCTACATCACCAAATGAGTAACTACTAGCAACGTAAGTCACAGAATACAATTCCTTGGCAGCTATTCTAAAAGCATTTATCTGAATAATTACTGAATATCAACTTAAAGGTTGAAGAGTTTACGGGATAGAAGATGAGGATATCTTGCTTGTAACAATCTAGACAAGGTTGGCATTGTATCCAATTAATATGACTGCCAGTGTCAACAAGTGCTAGTTGGAACTTTGGAGGAGTTCCAACAGAAAGGTTTATAAAGTATGCACCCAGAGGGTCAGGTACTAACTCGATTCGGAGTGAATTTGGAGAAGATAGAGGAGACATTATTTTTGAAAATGGTGAATAAGCTGAATAGTTGTCTCAAATTATTTATTATTTTAGAATTTCAAGACAAAATTAGTTACTTTTTTTAATTTTACCCTTGTAGTAATTGTTGTTGAAGACTGCAAACACCTCATTTATGGGGTGATATTATGATTGCTCAAATACCAATAAGATAATAAGAAAATAAAGCGAAAAAAATAACATGTACTAATAGAAATATAACAATAACATAATACAAGACCAAACCACTACTACTGGTATTGGAAACAAATACTCTCGACTATTTACTATCCTTTTATCTTAATTCTCAACCTCCATACCTTTCTGTCAAGGGTTATGTCCTTGGTAAGTTGAAGCAACGCCATATCTTGCCTAATCACCTCTCCCCAATACTTTTTTCGCCTACCTTTACCCCTTCTCATACCCACCAAGGGTCAACCTCTCACACCTCTTTGCATGAACATCTGTGCTTCTTCTCTTCACATGACCATACCTTCTAAACCTCGCTTCCCACATCTTGTCCTCCACCGAGACTACTCCTATAATTAGTTGAATGTCTTTATTCCTAATCTTATCGATCCTAGTATTCCCGCACATCTATCTAAACATGAGTGCAAGAAATGTGCATCTTTGTTAGTAATAACATTCTTTGTTTAATAATCAACACAATCTAAGTCGTATCCGACGAAAATGGCATTATATTCTTCATAGATAATAGCACATCATCTTCAATAAAAATAAAGCTTCATTGGAGGAATATCAATGCCTTCCATATCTTTGTAAGAGAGACTCCACTCTGATGATGAGTTGTCAACCCACGGTTCTTTTTTAATGGTTTCGCTCGCTAATGTTTCAAGTTGGTTATAGAACGGTGAAGGAAGGAAAGTATAAGAAGTTTCTAAGTCAATCACAATATTATCCTCTTGAAAACCAGTAGAAGGATTAAAACAAGGTCCAAGTTTTGTTCACCAACTGATATGCCTAAGAGGGTCAATAGTATACATTGTAAGGATTAACAACCATTATAGTGAAAACACTCATAGATCCCCAAGCATTCTCACTGAGGATAAGTTTGCTAGAGATCTAATTGTGGAAAAGGCACAAAACAATAGAATATTTTCCTCCATAGATGATACAGACTGAAGTCCACGTATGCGTATCAAAGTAGAATATAACAGACTTTAGAAGTCTAAAGCTAATTAAATAAATTAGGCCATCTTGATACAATCAGTGGCCTTAAAGGATACTGTCCTTTTATCTATATCATATCCAACGAGAAAATTTGATTAGGCCACTAATGAGCGCAAAACACAATACTAAATTAATGCTCGCTAGTTAAAGATAGTGTAATTAATTTATCGTCTCCGCATGGATTGAATTTAAATAGTGTTTGAATAATCTTTAGTTAATTACCATCCAGAAAAATTAACTCTTGATTGAATGATTATCAACTATGATTAACTACTAAAATTTAAAAAATTAACAGTTGATCACAGAAGACAACAGATGAGCAATAAAGAAATATCAATGAGAGAAATAAAGGTAATTGGCTAGACAAGTGCAAGACAATTGATTCGGGATCCAATTGTTGAATTAGCTCACTCTATAATACTGTTGATTCTCACTAATTCAATAGATAATTAGATTACACTTGATGTTAATGTTCCTCTTTCGATTAAACGTTAATTTCAGTAATTAATCCAAGTGAAGCATGGTGAAAAATTGCAACGAATAAAATGATGGTTTTAGTCTAAAGGATAACTTCTCACAAATATTTTCCTATTTTCTAGTTTGATTAATAATTCAAGAGGCTCTTTCAATTACCTAGTTAAATCACGAATTTAAACTATAGCGTAAGATGTAAAAAAATTCAATATCAAGCTCCTCTTTTGATTAATCAAAATAATAAATAACTTCACAATACGAATTAAAACTTACCAATTAATTAAAATAATTGTCAAGAATCGAATCTCTAATCAAGTTATGAGTACACCATATATGTCAACACCCTAAGTGAAATTACTCCATAGCAATGGAAAAAGCTATCTCAATAACGTTTAAAAATATAGAAAACATCAATGCTAATGATTTGATACAAACTACCGTATTGCACCGATTGTCACACCCCTTTTTACCACCCGCAAAATATATTATATGGATTGTTGTGGATTAAAGATTTTTTTTCAATTAAAGTGACAAATTTGAATAGGGATTATTTTACTTACATAGTCGCCACTTGGAATTGATTTTTGGTGTTCCAAGTCATTTTTTATTTGAATCCCTATTCAAAGGAAAGTTTGACTCTATATTTATTGGTCCACGAAAATAAGAGACCGGGTAAGAAATTTTGTTGACCGGGGAGATGGTATAAGGCATTCCCCGAATTCCGTGGTTCTAGCATGGTCGCTTTTATTTATTAAAACATGGCTTAATTAATATGGATAAATTGCGTGGTTTTGCCTTAAAGTACAGTTGTCTATTACCTTTTATTAATTAACTAAATTTTCTTAATTTTGGCCTAGGAGCGTATAGAGGTCTTTCTTTTTATCGTGTATGTTTAACCAAGGAGCGAGTATGAATGCATGGTCAAAAATAATTTATTATTAAAGAGTCAAGGAGCAGAAATGCTCACGTGACTATTTTATCAATTAAATGTTGACCAAAGATCGTGTATGAATACATGGTCTACATTTGAAACGTGCCTAAAATTGTCTTATCGTTTAAATTATTTGAGGTAATTAAGTTATTAATTAATTACTCGAGAGGCAAGGATTAAAATTGTTTAACTAAATATGAACATCAAACTTAGACTAACTCATGTTTATTGTTTTTTATGGCATTTGGCCACTCTATTTATCTATTGAAAAAAAAATAGCTCAACTTTGTTATTAAAAGATAATGGGCAAACTCATGAATTTTATTGGTATTGGACGGTTGCAATTTAGTATACAAAACCTGCCAGCTGAAATGGATTCGTGTGGCCCAATTAGCTATATAGAAAATGGACAGCTTTGTTGTTAAAGGGGATCTTTACATAAATAGCGGGTCATATTAATTATTTACTTTTTCTAGCCATATACATAAATTATATATTGATTACATATAATTGTACACATATAGTACATAAGTTATACATATATTATACCTTCGCTGGCTATTTTTAGTTTAAGTGATTGGGTGGGCGGCTATTTAGGTGAATTCTTCTTAAAGAAAACTGGGCCAGCTTAATGTTGAAGTTGTTGGGCCCAACGAGTTAAGTTTTGTCCTTCTTTGCGGCAGATTAAATCTCATGGCCCTATTATTCATAACTCAATTTGAAAGATCATCTTTTATTGGCTTTTATAAATCGTATTTAAACCACAAAATTCAAACAGCAAAGGACATTGTGTTAATCATTAATGCAATCTAACAGTGAGCATAATACCCAAATTACATATAATATTCCAAACCAACAATAATAAAAAATCAGAGATTTGGAGAAGATATTGGACTCTTCAAGATGCATTTCTTTTTCTTTTTAAAACAACTAGCGGAGAATTTAATGTATTTACAGCTAAACTTTAATTTACAGAAAATCTAATGGTAAAGAGCTTATTACAAAGTCGGTCTTTGAAACATAGAATAGAAACTACAACTATATATGTGTGTATATACTGTTACGACACTTAGAGTTCTTACCATTCAAGATTTTCAAATAAGCTTAAAGATTCATGCCATGTGCTTCAAGTTTGCATTTTTAACAAGACTATGACAGATCTAAACATACAGATAGATAACATGACCACAATAAGTCAATTATCTAAGATAATAGCTCAAACCATATTATTTTCAGTCAAACTCGACCCTTATTGTGATATCTGGAAGATTTATAGATGTTTGCACATGTATAAGTAGATCCAGTTGTTCAACATTCACTTGTTAAAAAGAAAACAAATTAAAAACATGCAGAAAAATAACATCATAAATTCATAGCTTCAATATTCATCTTTTAATAATCGGAAATCTACATTAGAAGGTTCGGAAAAGTTACCTAAAAATTGCAGATCAAAGATAAAGCAACAGTGATGAACTCAAGGTTTCACCATAACTTTTGAATTTAATTATACAAGACCAACAACAGTAGCAAACCAACGACAACTTCTGTAACGACCTGACCGATCGTTTTGAGCCCTAGTGCATCATTCAATAGTTTGAAACTATGAGTAGCTTCACTTCAGGTATTATGACTTGTGCGCATGGTCGGAATTGGATTTCGGGAAGTTCGGAGTTGATTTGGAAAGAAAACTCTCATTTCAGAAACTTTAAGTTGGATGAATTTGACTAAGGTTTGATTTTTGAGTAAACGACCTTGGAATAGGGATTGGAAGGTTCCAATAGGTTCGTATGATGATTTTGGACTTGGGCGTATGTCCGGATCGGGTTTTGGATGACCCGGGAGCATTTCAGTGCTTATTATAGAAGTTGGCATTTTGGAAGAAATTCATAAATTTGGGTTGAAGTGCATTTTAATGTTATCGATGTTCTTTTGGGATTCCGAGTCTCGGAATAGCTTTGTATTGTGATTCTG